TCAAGAGGGTGAAAAAACAGGTGAAAAAAGAGGTGAAATCTCACCTCTTCACCTAAATTATATTTTTTGGTCCGGGAACAACTTTCTCTCAATTGGAGCTGTAGCATACTCTTTGCGTAAGCGGTTCAGACCTTCTTCGAAGTCTTGGTCTCTCTTGGACTGAGATTGGAATTGGAATTGCTGGGGTGGAGCTTGCTGGAACAACCAAGGGTTGGGGCAGTAAGGCATAGGCTGAGGAGGGTAGTTCGGGAAGCCTTGTGGTGGGTAGTAACCTTGAGGTGGAAATTGGTAGTAATTCGGAGGTACTTGCTGGAACTGAGGTGCAGGGGCTGGTGCTTTAGGTTCCTCTGGTTTGGGAATGGACTCGGTTGGTGGTACGTCGGACATTGTCTTGAAACAGTACAAGTATTGTTCTGAAGCAGTACAAGTATTGTTCTGAAGCAGTACAAGTATTGTTCTGAAGCAGTACAAGTATTGTTCTGAAACAGTACAAGTATTGTTCTGAAGCAGTACAAGTATTGTTCTGAAGCAGTACAAGTATTGTTCTGAAGCAGTACAAGTATTGTTCTGAAGCAGTACAAGTATTGTTCTGAAGCAGTACAAGTATTGTCTTGAAACAGTACAAGTATTGTTCTGAAGCAGTACAAGTATTGTTCTGAAGCAGTACAAGTATTGTTCTGAAACAGTACAAGTATTGTTCTGAAACAGTACAAGTATTGTTCTGAAACAGTACAAGTATTGTTCTGAAAAAGTACAAGTATTGTTCTGAAACAGAAAATTTTTCTCACAAATTGAGAGCTTTTACGGGAAATTTGTTCTGAAAAAGTTCAAGTCTTGTTCTGAAGCAGTACAAATATTGTTCTGAAAAAGTACAAGTATTGTTCTGAAAAAGTACAAGACTAGTTCTGAAACAGTACAAGTATTGTTCTGAAAAAGTACAAGACTAGTTCTGAAACAGAACAATGGACAACATCGAGCCATTAGATGAGGCAATTTACCTTATAGAGATAAATGAAGTTGTTAAGCAGTACTTGGGCAAGGACAAAGCCAACAAGTCCCTCGGCTTCTGGTTGTCTGGAAGAGGTGCGCTGAAAATCGAAATTGAAACCGGAATTCCAATTCAAATACCAGAAAACACTCCTGTAGACGACATAAAGGAGATGAAGAAAGAAGCTCTTCTCAAGTTCTTTGCAAAGCGCCCATGGATACAACTTCCAAACAGAGAGAGTCCAATTCCACGAATTATACAAATTCTCAGAGCACTGTTCCACTTCTCGGGTCAGCCGTTCTACATAACCTCAGAAGGCGACATCCAGCCAGTTCAGTAAACATCTCATTTTAACTCACTTTTTTAATGTTTTTTGTGAAAGTGTCAAAAATAAATTGTTTTCATGAGTTTTCTACGATGTTAGAAAAAATGTTATTTTCTAATATCTTCACATTCAATACTTTTTCAGCACTTTTCCGTAGTTATATATGAAAGACAATTCGAGATAAAAGTCATAGTACAATGGAATAATATGTTGCACACCATTTGTTGTGAACCAAACTTGAAAGTCAGAGAAACTGTTACTAGATGGTTCGTAGAATTTAGAAGCAAAGTCATAAAAGTCCTTACCAATACATAGAAAACTATTGTTGCTTGAACTGAAACTTGCATGACACATAACATTTTGAGGGTCAAACACGTTTCTATAAACTGTCAAATCTGCTGGTGGAAGTATAAATTTAAATGGACCATCTGGTGGTAATGGTTCGTTCTGGTTTAGTAACCGAAGAAATTGTGCCCAAGAACGTTTGTCTACTTCCCAAAATAAAAACTCTGTATCTCTTGGAGGGTTAATTTCAATCTTTTGAAATGAAACGGTGGAGTTCATCTTGTCATATTCTAGTTTCAGATAGTATGTTCCATTTAGTAAAGAGTTGTATTTTTTTTGAAATTCCCAATAATATTTGTTCATTTGAGTTTGAAAGTCATTTAGAGTTTTCTCAAGACTTTCGTCTGAACGAACTGTAAAGATTCTCATTTCGTCAAATTTGTCTATTAGACCATCAGAACCTTCATACTGCCCATGAAAATATACTGCGAACATAAATGCGTTAGTTCTATTTGAAAACAAAACTCTTCTAAATCCTATTGCCTTTGCATCTGAAGGACTTTGAAGCCAACGAATTGGATAGTCAAACCTGTATGCTCGGGATGAAATTTCTTCATCTGAAATAGTCCTACCAGCATTTGTAAAGATATAGTCTAACGGTTTTGTATCTGCTACTTTTGTTCTTTGTTTTTCAACCTGAAGCATTTAATATATGTAAAAATATATTGTTTTAAAATGGTATGCCATTTCATATTTCTCATCTAACAAACAAGTTTCCCAACGGTCTTCTCCAACAAACTCAGCGTACAGTTCAAATAAAATTTAAAAAATGTCACTTTTTTGAAAAACGTTTTTACTTCATGCAATGTTTTATTTCTGTGCCGTCTTCAAGTATGCCCCAATATTTCCTTTTCGATATTACATGAACTTCGGAAAATACCTTATCTAGCTTAAAACAGCCCATCTTTTCACCGACCATTCCCATTTCAATGAGTTTGTTGTATCCTTCTTCGTTCGTCATGAGTGCGTCAATGTTCTCATAGTAAACCTTGACTTTCGATTTGACTTCGGAGAAGAATTTGTTGTACTCGTCAAGGACTGCTTTTGCGAACTGTGGGTAAGACCAATGTTCGACAATAGGTTTTAATGTGGTTACTAAGCCACTTTGACCTTGAGTTAATTCGTACTTCAAAACAAAAGGAGAAAACCTTTCAACAAAGTTGTCGACCTTCTCATAATGTTTACTCTTCATCTCTTGAGGTTTTTTAATGGAATATCCCCATGTCGAATTCATAAGCAATTTGAGTGTCATTGCAAGTTTGGGGTTTGAAGCTTTCCTAATATCATACAGTTGTTGTATGACTTTTCCAACTGTATAGTTCCTTCCCGGGAACTCACCATCTTCGTTTGGAATTCCAGTCGGAATATATTGGACAAACCTCATGTATGCAGCGTTAAGGTCGACATAGTATATCTTTTCATCTGAGTCGAACTTGTCGCAACCAATTGGTCCAGTTTTGTGGAAATTCAAGTGAGTCTCTTATCTTCTGAGAAACTTCTCCTGTTATCTCATAAACATCGTCGAAGCAACCTGTTTATATAAAACCTTCTGACCTAACTCAGATGCTCTCCAATACAATTTGACGTCAATTGGATGTCTCAATGGAAGTTTGTTTATAGCATCTTGAAGTTCTTGCAACCTCATTGGAAGTTCTTCTGGTTCAGGTTGGTATCCGAACATACCAACCCCTTGTGGAACTGTGTACTTCTTTTGTACTAGAACTTTGTCTGGAACAACTTTGGTCTTGCTAACAATGAAAAGTTTGTTTCGTCTTTTGGTACAAAAGTTTCTGTCAGCTTGTCATCTGGAATTGGTTCCAACAAACCTTTCTCGAAAAGAATGTTTACAGCTCTGACAATGTTGCACTTACTTTTACCAAAGAATGGGTTTGTAAGACTTTCGTTCAACATGAAGTGGTTGTGGACAATTACAATCTTCAACCATGGTAAGTCTTTGTCAACAACATAGTCGTCATGTGAAGAACCTTTAGCTGTAGGTATGTTGACTCGGATATTGACATTTGCCAACGGTGCAATTTTTGCCAATTGACCTCTGAGAATGTACCTTGTCTTCACACATGACTCAAGATACTTCATCTTCTCATCTGTAACAAGACCAGAGTTCCTGAGACATGTAAGAATGCAAGGTTCATTGACAATTGTTAGTTAGTATGACTATCTTGGGTACGGCGGCACTGCGTTCCCAAGATAACGGTTTGACACTTTACAAAACCACTAACGTATATTTTACAACACAACCATAACACCAACTTAACCTTAAATATTTACAAAGCCGCCAACCACTAACGACTTCACTAACGACTTCACTAACGACTTCACTAACGACTTCACTAACGACTTCACTAACGTTTTCACTAACGACTTCACTAACGAATTCACTACCGTCCTCACTAAATAAAAAATAACCTTATTTTTATTTTTTTTAAATTTTTTATTTCATTACAAAGACATGTCCGACTACATTTACTATGACTCTTTCCCAGAACGTTTCCGTGAACTATTCAAAACTCAAATAAAACTGAGAAACATGCATTTTAACAAAGACAGACCCATTGACGATGAAAGAAACCCTGAATATATTACAATCCCTTATGACGCAAAGTTCATTGCATACATTCCTTATGGACGTAGAGGAACGAAAACTATTTCAACAATGACGAAAAATTATTTCTGGAGCGATGAAGAAAATTGCCTTATCTACATAAATGCATACTTAAATAAAGCTACATATTGTACAAAAGAAGGTTGGACTGGATTTGAGCTCTACATATACGACGACGATGGAAACAGACGTTGTGTATACCCATACGATAATATGTACCATTGTTTTCATCAAGCATTAAACGAATACATAGTCAGTAAGGGTCTCATTCCTGTTGAGTAGATATGTTTTATTTTTGTTCTGTCATTTATATAAAAATTAATGATATCACCACCCTCACACGTATGAAAACATAGCACAAAAATAAATTTAGGTGAAGTGGTGAGATCTCACCTCTTTTTTCACCTGTTTTTTCACCCTGTTGAATTCATTGCTTTATAACTCTCTTCCTTTCTCCAACTCTTCTAGCTTCTTCTTAAGTTCAGCAATGTTGTCCTCATGAAGTTTAATCTTTCTCAAAATTCCTTCTTTATCTAATGGTTGCTTTATCTTTCTAAACTGAACTCTACCATCCTTCATAGTATGAATGTAAAAACCTTCTGGAATCGTTCCTGATTTAATGTATTCTACCAAAAACTTTTGTTTCATTGCTTCAGTGACTTTATCGTCATTTCAATCAAATAAAAATTTTAATATTAAATAAAAATAACGTTATTTTTTCAGTAAGGAAACGCAGGAGTTTTACGATTTATTTGAGGAGTAGGTTCTGGTTTAAATGTTGGAGTCGGTTTAGGAGTTGACTTTTGAACAGGAGTTTGTACTTCCATAGGTTCAGGAGTCATTGAAGGTTTTGCTTGTGAAGGTGTTGGTTTTGACGTTGGTTTTGGCGAAGGTGTTGGAGTTTGTTTAACTTCAGCTACTTCAGTATTATTTACAACATTTGCTTTATTTCTTTTCAACATCATAACTGCTCCTGCTGTAGCTAGCAAACCTAGTGGGAGACCATATTTTATATAAGGACTTGACCAAATGCTATTTTTGACAGGAGCTGGTGGAACACCTAACCTTGGTGAGACTGCTCTTTGCCATTGTGCAGCTCGTAAGAAATATTCAATAGGTGCTCCATAATCGTTTGGTAAAGTTTGTTTCATAGATGGTGAAGGTTCACGAGAGCTTGATGAAGAACTCATTTATAAGCTTTAAAAATAAACGTTCATCCTTTATTCCTCACTGTCGTCCGTAGCTAAGTTATAGTCATCTAATCTTATTATGGGGATGCCATTAGCACGCACCTGAATGGCAAAGCAACAATCCCTCATAAATCCAATAAGTGGCTTTGGTACATTTTCAGTTGCTAGTTCAATAGGTCCTTTAACAGACAATTTGTATGTTATTGGAGCAGTAGATGTTTGACCTTGCTGGAAGCAAAAGTCCACTTCTGTTGGAAAACCACATAAGAAATGTGTGTTGTCATAGCTATCCCATTTATGTTCCACACTACCATCATCCACCAATGACCTCATAACATCTTCATTAAATCCTATCATATCATTGTTTGTATTGCAAGCGTTCGCAACCATTTCATAAAATACAGGTCCATATGATTTTTCAGGTTCTGCAGGCATATTTCCATAAGCTCCCATGGAAAGCTGAAGATATTTAAACTTAGGGTTCTCAAAATTAACATAATAGTTGTCTTTCTTTCTAAATAGTGCCCAAATACTTTTAACATTAATAGGCGTATAAGCTGCTGTAAATGTTGCACTTGAACTATCTGTATTCTTTGAGAATGAACCGTCCATAGGAATCCAATCCATAACTTTAACAGGAAAACATAAAGCCTCGTTTGTATAATGTTCTACAAGTTCTGTATAAATGTTAGGGTCTAAAGAGAATGACTTTGGATGAATGAAACATTCATTAAAATCCATCTTTGTTCGAAATAGTTGCTGGGTTACAGTTGTAATAGTAACTGTTCCACTAGCTTCTACTGCCTTCGTTATCATAGTGAATGGTTCATTCCATGGAACAAATTTATTTGTCGGTGGATTTGAATCTGAAGCAAATGCAACTTTAAGAGTTGGATTGAAAGCAATGATATCATTTACAGATATAGATGTGCATTGTAAGGCGTCGCTACTGAACTTTACTTTAAGCTGAATGTTTCCTGCAAAAGCTGGAATAAATCGAATAGCTTCTAATGGAAGGAATCTTCTAACAGGAATTCTTAAACGAAGCTTAAAATCAAATGATTTTCCTGCTGTAATTGGACCACTAACAATTTGTCCTGTTCTGCATGTTCCCGAATGACTCCATACATCTTCATGTCGAGTCTTTGAGAAAACATCTACTTTCTTTATTTGTTCGGTAGTTTGTGAGTTTGAAGTTATATATGCTTCTTCTCTTGCGTTGTCTTGAGAATATACGATACGACCATTTGCAAGGATTTGATATCCAGCAACTGCATAGAAAGCGTCATCGAAACCAATCCAAAATCCTGGTGGGTTTGTTTTATTGGAACCTGAACCAATTTCTTTATCTACAATAAATTGACCTTCCATTTTATACGTAATGAATGTATTGTAAAGGTCCAACATATTTTCACCAGGAGGTGAGAGATTGAATGTTACCCATGTGTTATCTTTAGCAGTTCCAGGTTGTGATGGAATCTTTGCGTCAGAATATTTTCTATTAGTGTCACCAATTTGAACTGCATTGTCTATGATATCGAAATATGAGCGAATCTGATGAATATGCTCTGCTGGAGTAAATTCGTTTAACTGTTCGTTCTGCATGTATTTACTTCGATAAAAATATCTATTTACTTCATTATTCTCACTCTTCTTCTTGGCATTCGTGGTGGAAGTTGTTTCTTGACATTTTCAATGAACTGTACATTCTCTTTTGTCTCAACTTCTTTCACTGGCGGGTCAGGATTCTTTGACTCGGTTTGTTTTTCAATGAAATTCACGAACTTTGCAATAAGCTCTTGGTTCGTTATTGAAAGTACATCTGGCTTCTTTTCTTCTGGTTCTATTGACTTTTCAGTTTGAAGAAGGTTTTATATGGGCTTCGTGGACTTCACCCTTGCCATACACCTTAATGTTGTCGCTTTCTGCATTCGCTAATGGAACCTTTCTTTTTCTTACGTATATTTTACCATCTTTACTCTGACTTACGTAATAGAAAGGATGTTGTATTCCTCTTGCGTCATTTAATATAATAGACTCTCGCTCTGATTTTGACAAGCTCATTTTACATCGGTTAAAGTTTTAATTTTGTTTTTTATCTGCAGTCAAATGACTCAGACAAGCCCTACGGACAAGACCCAAGGGGTCATAGATGTTGAAGCATTGAAGAAAGAAATTCGTGAGCAAATTTTATCCGAACTGAAGGAACAAAAACAAGAACAAAAGCCAGAGAGACCAAAGAGAAAACTTAGTGAAAAACAACTTGCTGCATTAGCTGCTGGAAGACAAAAGAACCCAAGACTACTGGCGAAAAAGCTAGAGAAGAAGCTGAAGCAAAAGCTAAAGAAGCTGAAGCAAAGAAAGAGTAAATGGTTTATTTTTATCCGAATTAAATGTATAGACAAATACCTTTATCTGTTGCGTTCAGTAGTGAAAACCCTGACGTCAAAATAAAGGGGAACAGAGTAACGTTTAAGTTTCCAACAGACTGGATTGTGAACATAAATGAAGAGAAGTACATTGGCATAACATCTATGTATATAACACGTGCTTTCAGAAAGGTTGACTTTATACTTCAAGTCGAGATAGAAAATGACGAACAGTCTTTAAGCGCCCAAAACATTCACATATACAAATACTTTAAAGACGATACAACATTGCAACAATGTATGATTTCATTTAATGAGATGTTCGAGAAAAAGTTCAACATTGAAGTACAAACTTTACAGCCTTTACGTGAGTTTCTTGCACAACTGAAAGAAGAAGGTAGTCAGCCACAACTTATAGACTTTCATTATGAATTTAATGAAAATGAAGATGGAACATGACTGTCAGTTTGTTGTATTCTCACCATTCAATGAAGTAGCTAAAAGAAAAAAATCCATTACGTATAAGATTTCAAATCTCTGAACCAAGTGATGATTTCAAGAATGTTTTCAATTATGATGCAATGCTTCCGAGGAAAAATGAATTTTCAAAGATTGTAACACCTGGCATTTGGGATAGAAAGCAAGCTATATTATATTCAAACTTAAGTAAGGGAGTTGAAAATGAGTTCATTGGTCATACAAGAACTTCACCACTTCCTAACCCTAAATACTATAAATTAACTGGCTTCAATCGTGAGTTTTGGATAGACATGTTCTCCACTCATGACCATAACTGCCCAGTGTTCTTACCTCCAGACCATAAGGACTGTCTCTACATTGAAGCACAACTCTTAAACTCTACCATCGCAGTATTGTAAAATCTACGCTAGTTTTATTTTTTCTGAAAATTTTTTTTGAGTGAAAGGCATGGAAGGTGAAGGACATTGGCAAACACTCGAACATGACAATGACTATGAAATCTTTTCAGAGTACCCATATCCAATTAGGCGCATAAGTAACAAAAGAGTTGTAAGTGAGTTTGACAACGGTGATGGTTATATTTGTGTTTATTTAAACAAACATAAACTCTTTAAGCATAAAATTGTTGCAAGTCAATTTATACCGAATCCTGAAGGACTTCGAGAAGTAGACCATATAAACAGAGACAGAGGAGACTTTCATATCTCAAACTTAAGGTGGGTGTCGAGAAGACAAAACATGAGAAATATTTCTGGTTCGAATGGCTATTGGTTTGACATTGTAGACACTCTTCCTGAAGATGCTGTTGAAATTATACAATACTCTAAATTTACTCTAGAAAATTACTACTATGTCCCAAGTGAAGATGTCTTTTACTATTTCATGGGAACTCAATACAGACGAATGAATGTCTTAAGACAGTATAGCAAAGATTATATAAACATTACAGATGTAGAAGGAAGAAGAACAAAGCTGTCTATTGCAAAGTTTAAGAGAGACAATGGTTATACATAAATGACAAAAATATATGACCTCATTATTTTTATCACGAATGGCCTCATTCATGACCTCATTGCTGACAAAAATAAATGACCTCAGAACTTCAACTTACGAATAAAGCTTGTTTTAGTCGTTATTGAGAAGTTAAACTTCTTTCAAAGCAAGTGTAGCAGACTTACACAAGTCGAATGCAATCTCTTGACCATCATGAAGTGCTTTGTAAAGTTTCATTAAACTGAACTCAGAGTCTTTGTCATATGTTCCAACAGGTATGTGAATGTTCTTATCTTCATTGTAATAGCATTGTATAGCTTCAGGAAACATTTCATTAGCTGTTAAAGCAAGAACGTCTTGTTTTACACCTTTACAACGTGCATGGAATGCAACTTCATTTAAATCATTCGTGAGTAAGTCTATGTAAGTCTTCTTTCCACAAAATATTGACTTGTATGCTAAACTTTGTTTTCCAGGTGTTATTTCTGCGAAGTCGCTATGAAACTGACCTAATGTTTTACCAATAAGTTCTCTACCGTATCTCTTCTTAAACTCTGCTGCAAGCTTTGGTATGTCTTCATTGAAAATATGCATGCTATCACAGTCCTGGTAAAAGATTTGAAGTCCCATATCTTCAGCAGTACAGAATACTTCACACATTATTCTCTTCGACATAGACAGAATGTTAACACCAAGTGGACAGAAGTTAAAGTGTCTGCAAATGCTTTTCGTTAGCTTGAAAATAGTTTTATCTGAACCATCCAAACCTTCGAACTTCACTATATGGTTGTAGTTTCTGATGGCATATCTTATAGCATCTTTGTCATTTACTATGGTTATTTTTGACTCAATAGGAGATAGAATAGTTTTGCCATAAATACTGTTCAGAATGAGCTTTATATTTTCTTGCAAAGGATTTCCTTCTTTCTTATACTTTAACCTTAACTCAAACAACTTCTTTACTTCATCTCTTATTCTAATATCTCTGTTTCCATCGTAATAGTATCCTTGCAACACTTCACATTTGACACCTTGATATTTTATGAGGTCTTGTAATGTTATATGGTCAACATACATTAAACAGCAAGTGTTTGAACTTCTGGGAACGTTAAGTTCTGG